TATGTCCAACCAGATTCAAAGTGTCTATGTGGATCGTGTCCGACCTATTGCTACGTATACAAGATGTTATAGGTTCTGAAATCATTCTGGAGATCAGATTATTTTTCTACTAGATCAAGACCAGGGATGGAAAATCATTTACATTCATTTCGTGCATTCATTTACATTCATTTACATTCATTTGCCTCTAACTTTTTTCATCAGCAAAATTCCGTAAAATAGTGTTTAAAGCTACCTCGCCTCATGGTAGTCTCAATAAATCAACATCATCATTTTTTAGATTATTGGCTTCAAAATGCTGTATCTCAGGAAATACGCAAATTACTTTAAGTCGATAAATATTTCTTATGTAAATGATGATGATGATGATGGTGATGACCCCTACAAAAGTTAAAGCTGGACGATTTATCTTTAAGATAATTAAGTATGACATTTTAACCAGATTAGCAAACAAAACGAACTGATTACAGTTACAGATATGAATTCCCTCAACAATTTTCAGTTGCTAAAGTGAAAAAGTTTAACCGTTCACCTCCTTGTTCCCCCTTTCGTCCACCTAAAATATTCACAAGCATTCCCAGCGATTAGGAGCTCATGAATAATCGACAAAGCATCCTATTATTCTAGCGACCCCGCAATCTGATGCTAAAAAGATGTACCATTTAAAATCCGCACACACTCAAATTGCTCTAACTTTTGATCCGTTGGGTAAAATTAATTGAAACCGCTACTACTAATTCAAAGCATCTTCCAAATAAGCTTCAAAGTTCAATTTTTTATCAAATGTAAAATTCAGTCCTCTATATTCGTAATACGCGCGCGAAGCTCAAACCTCAAAGCTACTCAAAATTACAGTTTTTTTTAATTAACTACTAATATTAAATCAAGGCATCGAATTAAAAACATTTATTCCTTTTAAAATATAATGAATTTTGTGAAGCACAGGCCAAGAAATGTGGTGTTCTTTTTTTGTTGCGTTACTAGTGTTATATCTATCACAAATATCGAGGTACAAAACCAGCAACTACTTTAAAAATGAACACCATAGTCAAATATTCAATTCTTTGCTTCACCGACAACCATTGTAAGGCGTTCAGCATCATAGTTGAGAAAGTTAATCTATTACATTTCAAAATCAAGCGCATTATTTTATCCTGCAAGCGCTGTAATCTCGATATTTGTGGTGCATTGGTTGAAAATAAAATGGAAGAGCAGAAGTCTAGATGAGGAGAGATGATTGATTTGTAAAGCTGTATTTTACTGATAACAGTTAAATCATTTTTTAATCGACATAGAATTCCTTACTTCTTGTCAATTTTCTTGAGAGTTAAACTTAAGTTTGTGATCAATAATCACACCAAGATATTTAATCTCCCGAACGCGATTATAAGTATCATCACCAATTACAACGGAGCCGTTCTCATTTCCACGATTCCGCGATATTACCATGAATTTGTTTTACTTGTATTCAATCTCAATTGCTTATACTTCATCTGCTTAGAGAATGCACATTTTCATTCAAATTTAAAACGGCATCATCTAAATCCTTAGCTGCAATGATTAACACAGTATTGTCTGCAAAAGTATGTATGTCACAAAATCTTAAAACACGTCGCAAGTTATTAATATACATAATAAATAAAAGGGGCCCAAATACACTTCCATGGGGCTCTCCAAGGTTATTCCTCACGAAATGGAAACAGAATCATTAAAAACAGTCCGTTGAGCTATGTCACACAAATAGCTTTCAAAACATTTATATGCAGTGGGTTCAATCCCAGTCTGAGGAGTTCTGAGGCATAACATCTCTGATCACGCCTTCTTTCGGAAGGGAAGTAAAGCCGTTGGTTCCCCGTTCATGAGTTGATGGGTCGATAGGTAGGGTCCAGGTGTGGGAGCTGGCTCGCTGGCGTCAGTAGCATTGGTGCTCGAACCGAAAAAGAAGATCGACGGAAAACAAATCAAGGAAAAACAAAAAGTGTTAAAACCAATTTTCATCAATATTTCGAAATAAATAATAAATTATGTCTGGTTCATAGCATCCTTCAAATAATTTTTCACTAATTGTAATTTAGAAACTGATCCATATGCATATGTATGTCAGTAATTATTTTCAACAACAAATGCTGTCATCCTTTTCAACAAAATGTTTAGTTTCATGGTTATTTTGAACAATATTATGGAAATTAATCATAAGTGCATCTTTTGAGACTAAAGGGTGTCCCACATCAAATTGCATTGCAAATTGCGGAAAAAAAAATCCATAGAAAATTACCTCAGATTTGACCTCCTTGGGATACTTCCGTAGTGCCTGCTTCATAATAGCCCAGTATTTTTCGATGGGCCTTACTGCCGTTATACACATAACTGTCCCATGTTCTATGCAATTCTTATGCACCGTGGGACTCTTATGCGTATAACGGCAGTTTAGTTCCGGTGCGTTGGGGGGTTAATGTCCTTGGGTACGAAAGTTGGCTTCGTACCACTCCAGGACAACATTTGAATAGTGGCACGAAGCTAGATCCGGCCAGAAGATCGTAGGGCCCTCATGTTGCTTCAACAGAGGAAGCAGAAGCTTCTGTAGACTCTCCTTGAGGTAGATCTCCCCGTTTACAGTCCCGGTAGTCACGAACGGCACACTCCATTTTCCACATGAGCAGATCGTTTGCCAAATCATGTATTTCTTTGGCAAACTTTGAAAGTTTCTGCTTCCTTACTTACGCATTTCTCCTTCCATTTGATGCTCACAGTTCCGTAGTAGGGTAAACGCTCCTATAGTTGCGGTACGTTAGAAGCGTTAGGTTCCTGTAGTTGTGTATGGAGACTCCATACACAACTATAGGAACCTAACGCTTCTAACGTACCGCAACTATAGGAGCGTTTCCCCTAACGTTTAATCACACAACTCACGGTTGACTGCACGATTCCGAGTTGTTTTTCGATGTTCCGATGAGAGAGTTGAGGATTTTCCACGTGCTTGCGCAAAATCAATTCGCGACGTTGCTTTTCGGGAGACGCCATTTTTTTTCCAACTTTCGAAAAACTGACAGCGATAAAAATACAGTGTAAACAATACACTCTAAACTACTTCTACCCAAATTTTTAAAGAGGAAATACCCAAAAAACTCCGTTTTTATCAAGCTGCGCCCAAATTAAGATAAAATTTAATAAATCAGTGGGTGGGTGTTTCAAGAGCTACTAGAAACCGATTATGAATATCTTATTTTAATTCATTCGGTAGGTTTTCTTCCACATGGTCGCAATCCAATAATTTCACATACATTATGATTGATGTCACTGAGCCAAGGTCCCTGGCTTTAGCCCATCATTGTCCTACCGCTAATAAGGGCACTGGTCGGTAAGGTGTGCACCCGAATGCAAGGGCATAGTTGAGTCTTGTGATGGAAAATACGATTTATCGAACTGCGGAATGCTTCGGAATGTTTAGAAAAAATAGGGCGCGCGCTTGATCCAGGTTGGGATACATTATTGACTGCTGTCGAGAACGTAATTTAATTAGAATTGCTTGTTTAACCAGGGCTTAAACAATCGTCACGTTGGTCATAGCTTGTTATGATAGCCTGAACAATGCCTAAAGAACAAATCGAAACATTAAACGTCGCGTGAAAGTGGATCTTAATGAAGGTCTAAGTGCTTTTACGTAGCTTTTAGTTTTCGGATTTGAAAGATTGTCGGTTGCAGTGGCTTGGTTACTGAGCAGAAAAATGCGGTCCCAGGTCCATTCATATTAAAGAGATTGATGGTCAAATAGCTTGTATCGTGTATTTTACGAAACTTGTCGTTGGTGCCGGGTTTGAATGGTAACAACAACTCGAATAACGGTATAATGTGGTATGAGGGGCTCGGTGGCGTTAGAACGACCGTTTTTGCTTACTGAGCAGGACATCTAAACTTAGGCCCATCCACATTCAAGATTCCGATTCGTCAATCGTTTTATTTGTTAATATGACTACATGGTAATAGCAGCCACTCGATGATTAACAAAGGAGCTCGTTTGTCTAGTGGCAAACGTTTTTGCTCCTTCGCGTTATATGGTCTTTAGGACATCAATTAAGCTTATCGTTTACCAAAACGAACCCTGCTACAAACCCAACCCTTTTACCCAACATTCCAGTGGTTTCTCGTGGAAGTGCAGAGGACTTCTCTGCTTCCATTAAAGTGAGTGTCACGTCAACACATTCCTACCCATTCCTTTCTTGACCTGCGTTCGCACGCGACCGGCTCTGGTATAGCCTAGTTTGAGATCACCAGTTTTTATACATTGAGGATGAATTCTAGTCCCAAGCATCGTCTATTGGTTCTCTGTGTAATTACAACTGATCTGGCAATAACAGAGTAGCAACCGTGGGCGGTCAATCATGCTCATGATCTTATAAACAGGAAATCCAAACTTGGCCTGAAGAATAAACTTCTATTATTTAAACAAGTTTTTAGACCGGCCATGCTTTATGCTGTCCCAATATGGTCTAGTTGTTGCACTGCCAGGAAAAAAAAACACTTCAAAGGATTCAGAACAAAGTTCTGGAGATGATTTTGAAGTTGCCTCCCTGGTACAGTACTACCGAGGTACATAGAATTTCAAATGTTGAAACTTCAGAACAAATGTCCAAATTTTACAAGGTCCAAAATGTCCGAATTGTAGCAACAATGTGAATCATTGCCCATAAGAAGCAATTGAGCAAAATTTCATGTAAATCGGAAAGGTTTGTTTTCCTAAAATTGCGCGTTGTGCAGAAAATCTTAAAATTTCCTCTCTAACCGCAGTGGATTTTTTATCATTTATTCTGCATCAGCACGCAAACAAAATAAAACGTAGTTGTTATCTAACTGCGCCTTATGCATTTTTTCATTCATGAGATAAATAATTATGCAAATTTTCCTCCATCCAAACACTTTTTCTACTGAAAACCATTTTATCCGATTCCAGTGAAGGGCAATTTTCTAATCAAAAAATATCTCGCATTCTTCCGCGCTTCCAGATTGACCGATCCATCGGGCAGCGTCCACGACGGTCTGGGCAATTACTCAATTGGCGTCAAATGTAGCTGGCTTATTGATGCACGGGACCACAACAGCATCGCAGATAAGCTTTCGCCGGCCGGCAGCGGCAAACCATCGGTAATCCGGTTACATCTGGAGGAATTCGCAACCGAGTGCGGCTGGGATCACCTGTACGTGTACGATGGGGATAGTGTGGAATCGCCGCTGTTGGCCGTCTTCAGTGGGCTGATGTATAGGAAGAACTTCAGCATTCGGCGGATTCCGGAGGTATTTGCGCACAGCGGATCGGCGCTGTTGCACTTTTTCAGCGACGATGCGTACAATATGTCAGGGTTCAATATCAGCTACGAGGTGAATGCCTGTCCCACGATGGATACCTCGCTTAACTGCTCCGGGCACGGGGTGTGCGTTTATGGTGAATGCAGTTGCGATATTGGTTGGAAAGGACCGGCTTGTCACGTGGCCATATGTCCGAACAATTGTTCATCCAACCTGGGAAGAGGGGCATGCAATGTCATCCAGCGACGGTGCATTTGTGCCAAGGGGTATGATGGCAATGATTGCTCTCAGGTGCGAGCCCACGGAGTGTGGACGACGATCACTTCGGAGGAAACGGCAGGATTTGCCCCGCCGGGAAGTGCTTCTCACGGAGCGGCCGTTTTCCGGGATACGTTCTACATAATCGCAGGCGAGAGCTACGGAAAGGCAAAGTCGCTTATGTACATGTATGACTTCAATGGGAAGGTTTGGGAAACGGCTCATACGGACTCGAAGACCACACCGGAACTGCGGTACGGTGCTTCGACGGTCATGTACGGCGATAAGATCTTTATGTACGGTGGAGTGGTGGAAGGGAAGGGCGTTTGCGGGGAACTGTGGGCGTTTGATGTGAGTGCGAAAATTTGGGAGAATATTACTGTGAAGGCAGAGCAGTGCAACGAGACGTACGCTATGTGTGGACCGTTAAAATCGGCAGGACACACGGCTTCGTTGATTTCCAACTTTGAGGGTGGCAAGAAGGGACATTCCCAGAGGATGGTGGTCATATTTGGTCATTCGCCTCAGTTTGGATATCTAAATACGGTGCAGGAGTACAACTTTGGTACCCGCGAATGGAGAATCGTCAAGACTAAAGGATACCCGGTTAAAGGTGGCTACGGACATTCTTCAGCATACGACCCGCTGAAGGAACGCATCTACGTTTATGGAGGGATTATCTCCGAAAGCGACAGCACACAACTGTTGAGTAACAAGCTGTACAGTTACGAACCTCACAGTCGCGTTTGGACTCTGGAAGCAGCTGCTCCGACGGCGAGGTTCCTGCATACCGCCAATTTCATAAGCCCTGGTTTGATGATGGTCTTCGGCGGTAACACACACAATGACACGTCCCACAGCTTCGGGGCCAAGTGCTACAGCAAAGATCTCATGGTGTACGACGTCCTCTGCAATTCTTGGCACGTCCAACATATGCCACAAGATCTGCGGGCGGATTTGGCCCGCTTCGGGCATTCTGCCATAAGCTTCGAGGAATCCCTCTACATTTATGGCGGATTCGATGGACAGATGATAAACGATATGCTCAAATTTACTCCGGGAAATTGTAGGGCGTTGAACCGGTCAGATCAGTGCTTGAATACTCGACCAGGGTACAAATGTATCTGGGACATACAGAAAAGTAAATGCGTTCCGATTTTGGACGTGGACAAAGGAGTCCTCTTCAGTCGGGATCAAATCAACTACGACATATGCCCGCAGGAAAGCAGATTGGTAATGACCCGGCAAGCGTTGCAAGATTATGAACACTGCAGTCAGTTGTTCAGTTGCCAAAGCTGTGTTTCCACTGCGTACGGGTGCATGTTCTGCGGAATCGGTAACGGTAAGGGCTACTGCGCAAAGGAAAAGTGCCCGGATGTATCCTATACTTCCCGGGCAGATTTCTACCCTACGCGGAAGCTGAAGGACTGCCAGGAAAATGACGAACACTTTTGTGCTCAGCTACATGGGTGCCATGCTTGCTCGGCGTACACATTCTGCTATTGGGACTACGAGCATAGCAAATGCAAGTACAGTGAAAACAAGACCAGTGACGTGATAAACGATGCCCTGCCGTGTCCTCCGGCATGCTCGGTGCTGACGACGTGTGGAAACTGTACCCAGGAGGAGTGCATTTGGTGCCAGAATGAACAACGGTGCGTTGATAAAAATGCCTACACAGCCAGTTTTCCCTATGGTCAGTGTCGAGAATGGACCACCGGTTCCAACAAATGCCGTGCAGCAAGCTCAGGCAAAAGTCAGTGTGGCTTCTACAAGACATGTGCCCAGTGCCGGGACGATCCTGCCTGCGGTTGGTGTGATGATGGCTCCATGACCGGTTTGGGCAAATGTCTCCCCGGAGGGGACAGTGGAGCCCATGAAGAATTAGAATGTCCTGCTGCTCGGTGGCATTTCACGCACTGTCCTAGTTGCCAATGCAATGGTCATAGCACCTGTCCGGATTCCAAAACTTGCAAACAACCCTGCAAGGATCCGATGATGGGACAAAACTGCGAAAAGTGCAAACCTGGTTACTGGGGCAATCCGGTCAATGGCGGAACATGCCAGAAGTGTGAATGCAACGGTCAAGCGCAGTATTGCCACAGCGAGACGGGTAAATGCTTCTGCAGCACCAAAGGCCTTGCGGGCGATCATTGCGAAAAATGCGACGCCACCAATCACTATCACGGTGACCCGAGTCGCGGGTCATGCTATTATGATCTCACCATCGATTATCAGTTCACGTTTAACCTCTCGAAAAAGGAGGACCGCCATTTCACCCAAATCAACTTCCGAAACTCACCCATCAAATCGGACATCGATGCCGATTTCAGCATCACCTGCTCAGTGGCAGCCAAAATGAACATCACCATCCGAACGGCTGGGGGACCGGAGAAGCCGCTGTTCTTCGCCGTCAACTGCTCTACCTTCCGGTATCGGTTCTCGAAAGCCGAACATCACTTTGGTATAGAGGAAAACGTAACCCTAACTACGTTCTATGTGTACGTGTACGACTTCCAACCACCGCTCTGGATACAGATAGCCTTCTCACAGTATCCGAAGCTAAACCTGCAGCAGTTCTTCATCACCTTCTCCACGTAAGTTCTCTTGGTTTTTGTTGTTGTCGTTGTTCTGCGGCGACACCCGAATTAAACGAATCGTCAATTCTTCTATTTAAAGATGCTTCCTGCTCCTCCTACTGATGGCGGCTATCCTGTGGAAGATTAAGCAACGCTACGACATGTTCCGCCGAAGGCAGCGACTCTTTGTCGAAATGGAGCAGATGGCCTCCAGGCCATTCTCTCAGGTAACGATACACAGGTTTTGCAAATCAATATCTCGTCAGAGACACTAATGCCCAGGTTCGTTCCCGTCAGGTTCTGGTGGAGATTGAAAACAAAGAGTACAATGAGTTTTCGCCGGCCGTAGAAAATATCACCAGTGCTCCGAGGAAGCGAAAAAAGGTATAACTTTCAACAGAGACGGTGGACTTGGGGCATTGATCTCGTGTTTTTTTTTTCAATTTTAGGATTCGCCCAGCCCCATCGCACTGGAGCCGTGTGAAGGCAACAGGGCGGCGGTGTTGTCGCTTCTAGTCCGGCTACCGACAGGTGAGACCTCTGGCAAGTTGACAATCTTACTTCTAACTATAATTATTCGATAGATTTTCGGTTTTGAGTTATCGGCATGTTTTTTTTTCATTGCTGATGGTTAACCCGAAAATCAACTCTTACATGACCTATGTGACAGGTGGATGCCGTGGAACCATAAATTTTGCCCACAGGTAGAGTTTTTTTATATGAACGAATTTCTTTTTTCAAAAAATTCAGGGTGAATTTGAGTTCAAGTTTTTGGATGTTCCGGACATCAGATACTTTGAAAATTTTTAACCAAGCATCGTAGAAAGAACGTTGTGCAGTGAAACGATATGGACATTATCTCAGCAATCCATAAAAAATATAATCTGAAGAATGTCCAAATTAACCATGTAGTTAACGAAAATGATCGTATTTTGGATCTCTGCTTCGTGAGCACACAGGACATGGCTGCATTAATTTCCCCCTTGTGCACTAACTAAGCTAGTTCCACATCACCCGCCTCTAATTGTCACTGTTGAGGACAAACTCGTGCGTGATTTCTACGGTTTCTTATGACTTCCGTTAAGCTGACCACTCTAGCATCATAGATGTATTGTCTAGTATAGTATGGGAGAACATCCTTGATCCAGATGACTTTGAGGCTGCAGCGCAAACCTTTTCACATGTCTTGGCATATGTCATTGACAGACACATCCCGAAAAAAAAAACTCACCACAAAGTGTCTCACCCTCCCTGGCAGACGAGAGAGCTACGTAGGTTGAAGTCAATCAAGAGAGCAGCATTGAGAAGATTTACAAAGTATCGCACGCTTCCTCTGAAACTACATTATGTGAGGCTGAATCACATGCAGGTACCAGCGAGTCAGTCGTGAATGCTTTTCAAGTTTCCAACGAGGCATCCAGCACAAACTTAAACTACACTCAAAATCTTTTTGGAACTACGTGAGGGAATCCGGCCTCCCATCGTCTATGGAATTCAACGGAGAAGTTGCTGCCACCGTTCAGGATATATGCCGCCTTTTATCCGACAAGTTTGCCAGTGTATACACTAATGAGATACTAACTGACAACCATATTAACCTGGCTGCCAGGAACGTTCCAGTAAGTGATCAAACGCTGGGTGCAATTGATGTTAATGCTGAGATGATTTCCAAGGCCGCGACTCTGCTCAAGTAATCCTTCAATCCTGGACCTGATGGAGTTCCATCTGTATTTTTGAAGAGACATATTGCTAGCTTGTTAATTCCGCTTCTTCGCCTGTTCCGAATGTCTCTCTCCAGTGGCATATTTCCATCTTGCTGGAAACTTGCGCACATGTTTCCCGTCCACAAAAAAGGAAGGAAACGAGCTGTGGATAACTATCGAGGAACTACATCGTTAAGTGCCGTTTCGAAGCTATTCAAGCTAGTGATTATGGAACCGTTGCTGTCCTATTGCAAGCAGTAGTTGTGTGCTGATCAACTGCAGTGTCTAACATCGTATATAACCGAAACCATGTTGGATCTAGTTCAAAAGGACGTTATTTATTCAGATCTATCCCCAGCATTCGACAAATTGAACCATGCTATTGCGATTGCTAAACTCGGCAGGCTCGGAGTATGCGGTAATCTTCTGAGTTGGTTTCGATCATATCTTATCGGTCGCCAACTAAAGGTTGCCATAGGAGATTGCAGATCAGCTAGCTTCTTCGCCACATCAGGTAAGCCACATGGAACCGTTGATTTTTATACTGTACTTCAACGACGTGCATCTGGTCATCGAAGCTCCTCGGTTATCATATGCAGATGACCTCAAAATCTTCCTACGAATACGCTCCATTACTGACTGTCACTTTCTTCAACGTCAGCTGAATGTAATCGCTAGTTGGTGCAGTTTAAACAGAATGGTAGTGAACCCGGCCAAATGCTTCGCTATTACGTTCTCACGAAAACAACAACCGACAATATTTAGCTATGACCTGCTTGGCTCGACAATCGAACGCGTGAATCAGTTGAAAGACTTGAGTGTGATCTTGGGATTCGCTGCTATCATTCAAGCAACACATTGCATATGTTGTCGATAAGGCGTCAAGAACTTTAGGGTTCATTTTTACGATAGTTAAAAACTTCACTTCACATACTGTCTAAAATCTCTCTATTGTTCGCTTGTTCGATCGACGCTTGAGTATTGGTCAGCGGTTTGGAACCCAAACTACAACAACGGTGCCGAAAGAATTGAATCTGTTCAACGTCGCTTTCTTCGTTTTGCGTTGCGTATATTGCCTTGGAATGATCCGTGTCGATTACCCAGTTACGAAAGCCATTGTCAACTTATCGACCTAGAACTTCTCCGGACTAGAAGAGACACAAGCAGAACCCTAACCGTGGCCGATATCCTGCAAGGAAAGACAGATTGCGAGGCTAACACAGCAACTGCTCATTTTTTAATAGTTGTTGACGTAGGACTACGTCTTTGATTTCTATATGGGGGTATACTTTGTGAAAACCGAAAATGGAACATGTAACAAATTAAGAAAGATTTTGAACGTTAATAACTCAGCTGACCCTGGTCCAATTTCAATAATTTTATCACCAATCGATCAAAAATATGGCTACGCATCGATAACAATGCTTCCGAATGTTGATTTTAAACAAGAAACTATTGAAAAACTGGTAAATGTCCAGCGTTGTCCAAAAGCGTCGAATTAACTAACAAATCCACCAATTACCTACATGCATATGCTGCTTCCCCAGCACAGTCGTCAAAGAGTAGTAAATAGACGAAACAAGTCAAAGTGGCATTCGCCTCCAATCCTCGGGCGCGTGCGAATAGGGAGGATGGAATTGCGTAATATTTTGCACACTCATCGCCATATTCAGAACCAAACGCAAATTCTTCGAGATAACCACCATTCGTCGTCTGGCTCGCCGTGGCGGTGTCTGACGTATCTCCGGTCTGATTTACGAGGTGTGCTGAAGGTGTTCCTGAAAAATGAGATCCGTGGTGCTGTCACATACAATAAATACGCCAAGCGTAAGCGGCCATGGATGTCATCTACGTTTTGAAGTCACAGAGACGTACTCTGTTTGGTTTCGAAGGTTAAACCATCACCAACTTTGGCAACAAAATGGCTCTTTTCAGGGCCATCAAGATTATTACATTAAAGAGAAGGAATAAAATTCATTTGTCTGTAATCAGAACCAACGACTACACAAAATGCTCATGTAATCAAACTGGAAGCATGGGTACAAATTATTTTGATCAACTTTGAATCGCCACGACCGGATATTTTCGATGGAACAAGCAACAATCTAGCATCGAATTCGACGAAGACAGCAGGAAACATTTGTGAAGCCGAGTTATTTACGAAAGAGAGTGTCGATGAAGAGAATCGAGCAATGTAGGTAGGACCTATTGAAAAGTGACCCGAGATTTGTTTTCCGTACTGAGCTCCAATGCTACCGACGCCAGGGAGGCAGCTCCCACACCTGGACCCTACCAATCGACCCATCAACTCGACCGGGGACCAACGGCTTTACTTCCCGAAGGAAGGCGTGATCAGAGATGTTATGCCTTAGAACATGCCGGTGGCGCCAACTGAGATTGGACCCAGGCCTGCTGGGGTGAGAGGTAATCACGCTAACTACGGGCGCCGATATCTTTCAAGGTGATATCACGGCGAATGAGAACGTCCCAAATTTGAGTTTAGTTATCTCAGAAATAAGAAATAAAGTGCAAGAACTCAGCGATGAGTAAATTTGCCTCATGCTTTCCCAGGTTTTTCCAGGATTTTCCAGGGAAAAATTCTCGAATTTGAGAAAAGTAAAGATTGGATTCACTCAGTCTATTGGTACTACTCCGAGACTGAATAAAATTTTCGTCAATTTCCTCATTTTCTGGCAGATTTTTTAAGTTTTCCTCAGGAAATCATGAGACAAATTTACTCATCGCTGAGTTCCTGCACTTTTGGCGATTATGAGTGAACTAAACTCAAATTTGGGTCGTTCTCATTCGCCGTGTACGCAAAAGGAAAAGAGCCAGTGTCGCTACTTGAAAGCAAACTACTCATAATGGGAGGAGTCTTTGTAGCTTTTATACCACTTGGTTGCACATCATTCTGCTTTAACCTGAAAAGATATAAAAAAGCGCTGCTGTATGGCATTAGCTCATTTTCGCTTCAGACGGCGTGGAGAACAGCAATAGCAGCAGTATGAAGGTGGTGGCTAGTCCACTCCTTCACACCTAACAAGCAACAATTGACTGGTCGTGGCAAAGGAGGAAAAGGTCTGGTAAAGGAGGCGCTAAGCGTCATCGCAAAGTTCTTCGAGATAACCGCCATCGGTCGTCTGGCTCGCCGTGGTGGTGTCAAACGTATCTCCGGTCTGATCTACGAGGTGTGCTGAAGATGTTCCTGGAAAATGAGGTCCGTGATGCTGTCACCTACACTTTACATGCCAATCGTAAGTGGCCATGGATGTCCTATTCAATAAAACGGCCCTTTACAGGGCCATCAAGCTTACATCAGTAAATAGTTGGAATAGAATTTATCTGTGCTTGTTTGTCCATATTCAGAACCACAAGGGGGACTTTTAACGACCACACAAAATGCTCTCCAGAGTTGTAATCTTGTAACCAAACTTGGAAGCAGGAGTGCAAGTGATATTGATTGATTCTCTTAATCAACTTTCTCTTTGATAAAAATTACTACAAATTTGGTACGCCTACAATTCAAAAACGGAAGGATTTGAGATAATAGATAATTGATCAATTAAAAGAACTAAATGCTCTTCACATTTATTCCGTCCACTAGCGGTCCTACGTCAAGCTTCCGTTCGTGCCCCTAGGCACAGACCCTTCTACTTTTCACTCAGTTGTTGAAATGTGTTTTTCTTTAAAGTAATTAATGGATTGGGATCATAGTTTACTATAGATATGCAAAGGGTAGGTAAATCTTAACATTTGAATCAACACCAATGATTTTTTACGCTTAATGTCCGAGGTGTGCAGCGAGCATTTCTCACTTCATTTTTACAACGCTAAATCAAATACAGTTTATTACTAGAACTAAAATTTACTCCTTTTTTACGTATCTATAAATAAATAAAATAAATCACATTTCAGATGGAAAATATCCATTAGAATTTCACATAACTTTCATGTGATCTCATAATTGGGAATCGCACCACGAAATCACATGAACCTTATGTGTCCAATGAAGTTTATGTGATTATCATATAGAATTCATGTGATCATGTAAATGTTATGTGACTTTCAGATAAACATCATTAAATTTGTTATTGGAAAAATATCATGTGCGTTCCCAATGGAAGCTATATGAAAACTTTTTTCAGTGTATTCTTTCAACTGCTTCAAAAAGAACTACGTTTCATCACCTGTGTGCAAAGTTATTAGGTAGCAAATGAGAAGTTCGTTACCAAAACTGTGTATGTCATGCATGATCCTGAGGGAAATTGACCTGAATGTTCAACACCAAAACATGTTCCACATGTAAAACACCAGCAATGTCCTAGACTCATCTTTAAGAAAAACGCAATCATGCAATGAAATAAAATTACCTTTTCACTATTGAATTTGTCTTGTTGTACGCCCCCAAAGTTGGTACACTCAGATCTTTTTTTACCGATATGTACCGTGTAGAAAAAACTACCGAGATTTTGATTTTTTACATGTTTAAAAAAATTTAAAATTCGAATTTTGATGCCATTCGTAATTATAGCATGCTATGGTCCATATAGACATAAAAAAACAGTGTAAAAAAAGACTTCAGTGTACATCCACAGACAAACAGACGTAACTCTTCATTGTGTATCTTCGTTCATGCATTTAACGGTTGATTTGAATATTATCAGTTCCGCGAACTACTCGCCGCAGCGCTGGCATCGGATCACTTTGACGTTTCTATACATTCTATAGAACTTTTATGCAATATTGTTTACGAGTTAGCGAACAAGCTTGTTTTCCGCGAGAAGCCAGAGAGATGTCGTTACTGAGGTTATATGTTTTAAGATACTATGTTTTCAAGAACAAGTTTTTCAAAGAGTTACGTCTGTTTGTCTGTGGTACATCTAAATCTAAATCACAATTCAAAAATGTCCGAAAATCTCATGCTAGTGATTCAATCTACGAAAAATATATTTTTATTTTTTCACGCATCTAAATTCATCTACTCACAGGGCTGGAAGTTGGTAATTTTTAAGTGACGTGGTCACTTTTTTAAGCTGCTCACTTAAAAGTCACTATTTTCGACACCATCAACACCAAGGAGGCAGTTCCCACATCTGAACCCTACCGGTGCCCTACCTATCGACCAGTGATGGGGAAAATCCAAAAAATCGCAAACAGAAACGACCGAAAATCACTGCTAATCTTGAGATAAGCAAAATCACAAACAGAAAATCACGGCTGATTTTATCTTAGCTGATCTTGAGACTACCGTAAAACGGGGTATCTATGATAATGCGGGCAACTTTGATAGTAGAACATAATGATTTAATTTACTCTCTGCACAATTTGAGAATTGGAAACATTGGTTTCACTTTGTAGCTTATACTCCGTTCACATTACAGCGTATATCACGTGATATACGCTGTCTTGCAATGAGCACTCATACATCTAGTTTTCACTGCAAATCCTATGTATGAGTGCTCATTGCAAGACAGCGTATATCACGTGATATACGCTGTAATATGAACGGGGTATTAGGGTATTACCTTTGACATTATAGAGTTTTTGTATAGTATGTTTTACATATTTTCCAAATATCTGAAAAAAAAACAATTTGCACTCATTGAATGTATTTCTGATAAAACCATCACAAATTCAATGTTGCCTTCTCATTGCTTTTGACATTTCTGATTATATACTCATTCAAAGCTTAATATTTCTTGAACTAAATTGTTTGAGATTCACTCATGTTTTTCTACATATATCGAGTACTATAAAAGTAACCCCAAATCAAAATACTGATGTTCGGTTACAAGATTAAAAAATAGTGTATATGCAATTAGTTCCGTTAAAAATACTACTAACGAATTTAATCTAGGATCCTCAGTACTTGTTTTAAAATAATAATATTTGAAAAACATTAATTGTTATGAAACATATTTAGATTCTAGGGTTACGGTATGTAATGTGGGTCTAGTCCTTTCATTCGGCCTATCACGCAAATAAATAATTAATTAAGGAATATTACACAAAAAATAAGGAAAATATTGATCACTGATGATTGATAAATGTGTACCACACACAAATCAATTTATATCACAACATTTCAATACATTTTCAGCTCTCGTAAGTAATAAAACTGGTTGAGAATATCACTCTGTTCGGAGTTTTTAGCCGCCATGACTTCTAAGGTTAAGATGGGAAGGTTGCACTGACGATCATCAAATGGCCTGATTATGGCATTTATTGAATGGAATTACCTGATAATACACACTAGACGTAAAACTCACAGTTACTGTTTGAATATTTTATGTTTATTTTAATTGTTTAACAACGTTTTCACAAGTAAATCATGGACCCAACTTTAGGGACACATTTCTTTTCTATGTTCCTAACTTTGGCCCATGAAATTCATTTGACAGCATATAGCAATAAGAGTAACGTCAACAATGTGGTTTGCATTTGGATGATAAGGAACGAACAGGAAGGGAGATTTTTTCTGCCAAATCTGTATAATGAACATCACAATGTTTTGATTTAGATATTCTGCGGTCGAAAGACGATAAGCGAAATTTTTAATTTTTAATTTTTAACTTGTGTGATTTAATGTAGTTTTCGTAAAATTTTCTCTAAGAAATGTTTTGAGGAATGAAGAGTATTAAGTTGACAGTGATAGTGATAAAAAAAAATACATAAGAAAACGTTACCAAGAGCGTTTTTTTTGAGAATCAAACAGGATAGGACGAAGTTGCATCCATAAATAGACCCAATTTGGGGACAATAGACCGATATTACATACATTTCCCTGGTGAGTTTTTGTCTTAAAAAAAGTAAGTTTTTCAACTTTTTGCGGTTCCTGATAGCAAACGACATGATAAGCATATCTAAGCATACCATTTAGCAGTAGAATATCGTTTGCAGGTAAATTAATTGATGAGTTATGATTAAAAACGTAATCTATGGCTGCATATTAGACCGAGGTTAGGGACGTATACCCTACTTCAAAAAACTATCAATGCTGTTTTACGGTAGCAAAATTACAAAGCAGACAGTGCTGCAAAATATCAATATCAATACCTACAAAATTCTGAATTTCACTAGACACCTGATGTCAGTATCAGTTCACACAGTTAGAATATCAATATCATTCAAGCGCAGCACTGAAAGCAAAAAATCAAGGCTGATTTTAACCTTAGCTGATTTTGAGGTAACAAAATCATCAAACGGAAAATCAATACCTTAGTATCCTTAGTATTACAGTCACAGTAAGAAACCGACATCCGCCGCCATTTTGGAATCAAAACCAAAATCCAATATGGCGACATCCGGACAGCGAATATACATCGATAGTTACCCATATTGCATGGGTTTGGATACATATTCGCTATTCGGAGGCCGCCATAATGGATTTTGATCCGCCATCTTGAATTCCAACATTGCGGCGGTTTACTATAGTTTGATAATAAGCAGATCGACAGAGAATATTAAAGAACACTAATGATTTGGTATGAATTGGGCAGCATTTTAAGTATGCTTTCAAATATAATTAGCCCAGCGGCACCGGTGGTGTAGTGTTAAGCGTGATTGCCTCTCACCCCAGCAGGCCTGGGTTCAATCTTAGTCGGCGCCGCCGGGATGTTCTGAGGCTTAACATCTCTGATCACGTCTTCCTTAGGAATGGAAATAAAGCCGTTGGTCCCCGGTTCTGAGTTGATGGGTCGATAGGTAGGGCCCAGGAGTGGGAGCTTCCTCCCTGGCGTCGGTAGCGTTGGTGCTCAGCACGGAAAACAAGTTCGACGGAAAACAAATCAAGGAAAAAAATATAATTAGCCTGGTTTTCCCAATTTTGCCAAACTTCGAACTGTTGGCGTTGAAAATAGTGCTAATTTTGGGTCAAAACCTTGAATATTTAAAGAAATATTGAAGATAGGAACATGCTTCCCAAGACAAAATGGCATATTTTAAAAAAAAAACAAAAATTTGTGTAGAAAATATTACCGTCAAAAAATTGCTCCCTGAAAAGTTATTTGCAAACTTCCAAGACACTAGCTTAAATGGATCGTTTTTGCATAAACTTAAAAACGCCCGGCGGATAAAGCGAACTTGGGCGGAGCGCCCCCGTGGCGTTATTTGGTTGCCACCGCGGCGCCGGCGCGCATATTTGCAACATTTGAGCGCGTGAGGCGAAAACGATACCTGTTGGAATTTCTACAAAATTCCCATCTACAAAACTCCCTGAATCCCCCCGAAATTCTTCAAATTCTAGCAGAGCTTTGAAAACTTTCTGCTCTACTTGGAATTTGCTTATCTTGTACAAAGATCTGTAAACTGCTATATACTCACTGCCCTTCAAAGAAGCTTCCGGAGGAGAAATCTAAGGTATTTGTGAGGATAGTTGACCACCCACGATTAGTACAATTGCTTATGCTATGCAAAATCTGAGGAATATGTACGTAGAACTACATTTATTTATAAGGAGAATTTAGAAACTGTAAGTTGAATACCATGGGAAGGAGAAAATCCAAAGCGATTTTAGAAATAAATTCAGTTCTGATAATAATTCAATTTTTTTTTTAGGAGTATGCCAAATGAGTTCAAAAGTGAGTTCTGGAGAAGCATTTAGCAGAACAATTTTTTTCCTGAGATAATTCATCTGAAATATCGGGAGAATGCTAAGAGCGGGCTCAAAGTGAGTTTTCAATAGATTGTCCGAGAGTTAAAAGAAAATCTTCGAAAAAATCTTAAAAGAACCAGCATGCTCAGAAATTATCGTAAATACTCAAGACTTCAGTATGATCATTCTTCTGGAAATATTCAACAGCTCAACACGCAACAGGTATGAAGTTCTTCACATTTCCCTGAAGTTCAACGAAATTCCTTGATATTCTATCAACTTCCTTGAACTTTCACAAATCCTTCGGAAAATATTTTTTCAATCTTGAACTTGAATTTCTTTGAAGATCTACGAACTTTCCTGAACCTCTGTATCTGAAGGTATACAATCTTTCTTTGAAATTTTGCAAATTTCTCTGAAGTTATGCGAACTTTCCTGGTGTTGGGTACCCACGCGAATTTCGCTACCGCGGTTTAAGTGATTTATTCGCTACCGCTGCCAAGGCGTAACAAACGCGCCAGTTTGGTGGACCCTTAACTCAACCGGTTTCCTCCAGCGGATCAATTTTGAAAAATAATTACACTTAATAACAAATTGTTCAGTACTTACCGTCAACTTCGCTTCTCCAGAAGATGGCCATCGGAGGCCAATTCCGCTGCCCGAATAAAAATTAACACTTTCTGCCACGAGCCAGGTGAAAACATGGCTGACCACGCAATCAGTCCGCAACCCGGACGAAGGGCGAACGATCAGTTTTCAAGCGCCCAATGTCAAATGACGTCACTTTTTCGCCGGCAATTCGTGTTGTACTTTTAGACCACTGTTCACCGGTGGGGTGGTATAAGCAGGGGCGGGATGTGCTGTCAAATCTGCCTACTGAACATCCATCAATGAGATGTAAATATGTAAGGCTCAGTGACCTTATCGTCTCTTTCGTTCTCCCGCTGTTTAAACGGTTGAAGGAGTGTGACGTCAAACTCCGTCATCCATTTAATCAACCGGAGAACGAAAGAGACGACAAATTTACTGGGCCTCACCTATTAACGCTAATTGATTTTCCATATGTGAATTTGGTTCCAAACATCATCAAACCATCGTTGCTTATGGTAGAGCCGGTGTATAATGAGTCACGCCAAGAGTGAAGCCAAGTCTACCTATTGAACCGTCAAACCGGCTACCTATCGGGCAAAGAAAACAAACATTACGATGCTACGGAAGGTCCACGAAAGGTATTGCAATAAAATATAAAATATAAGCGAAGAAATGAGCATACACACGCAGTGAGCATTAAACCAAAGATGAATACTAAGATGAAACAGTCGGAAGAAAAACTTTCTATTTTAGTGTCCTCTTTCACGGTCCCTTTCATCCAATGAATACCCCCCGTATGCAAGGTAATTTTGTGGTTTTGCTGCCCCCTCGGTAGAGATGAAATTTTGCGTTCTTTTTTATCAAAACAATCACACCAAAATCAGAGATGTCCCATTTTTTAAATTATTCGATTAACATCTAATCGATTATTTTTTGTTCGCTGTGCTACAATTTTTCAGCATATGTTTGAAACGATGGGTGATGATCCTCTGGTGAGGTTAATGCTTATCAGCATGATATAACCGATCACAAATATTTTAATTTTCGGTTCGTTAATCGATTAATCGATTATTCGAATGAAAATCGGCCATCACTAGATGAATGTGAAACGTCATTTCAAATTTAAGGTTGTACATAAATAATGATACAATTCGAAAGGGACCGGGGCTAATCACAAATTACGTCCCCATGGTAACTGAAATAAATACGAGTGGGGACCGGTTCATTAAACTGTCATGTGAAACGTTCGGTAATGATCAGTAATGAGAATTTCTACTATTTTTTGTTAAGATAATTTGACAAAATCACTGGTATAATGATTTACTACAGCCGCATTTTTTTTCTCGCTAAATGTCATTTGAAGTTGTTGTAGAAGTCCTCTGTTGCCAAGTGAAAAGAATGGGAATCTTTCGAAAACCGTGATGCGAGTTCAACTGTTTTTCTCTTGGCGTGACTCATTATACACCGACTCTAGCTTATGGCTTTGTTATCGTTTGGAACCACCTCCCCCCCCTACACGGAGACGAAAAACTACCCAAAATTAAGTACTTTCCCTGAATTCCAGGGTTCAGCCCAATAACCCAAATTTGAGTAAATCGCATTGTAGTTTCCATTTAACACCAGCAAAAAAATACCTACTCTTAAGTATATTCTGCCCAAAATTAAGTTTAATTAACGTAAATTTGAGAAAATGAAATTTACTCAAAAGTAACTTATTGGGCTGAACTATATCGTTGGGTCGAATCACTCGTTCCTTTTTTGACAACAATTAAGTAGTGAAAGTGAGAGGCTGAACTCAATATTAATTCAAAAGAACTCAAATTTTGGGTAGTAGTTTTGATGTAGGACTACGTCTGTGATTTCTATACACTTTGTGAAAACCGAAAATGGAACATGTAACAAAATTGTGAAAAGATTTTGAACGTTAATAACTCAGCTGTCCCTGGACCAATTTCAATAATTTTATCAACAATCGATTAGATATATTTCATCTGCTAGTATTAACACTTTATCATTTTCCAAAAGGTCACGAATGTGCAACTGTTGCTATGACAATTAAAATTATCACTGATTGCCTGCGAAAAGCGATAACCCTAACACAGATTTTAAAGTTGAATTCCATCCAGTCTCACCAAATGGTGTTTATTCAATCACCGTGTGGTGAGTGGTGGTGTTCTCCAGTACACAACAAAAGACTCCCTGCAAGCAGCGAGCTGCAGCCCACATGAGCATAGAAGGAGGAAGAAGCCGCACCGCTATCATAATCAGTAGCTCTTCCTATTCCTACACAAAACACAAGCTCCTGCTGCAGTTAACAAATAAGATTTATTATATAAGGCCACGTAGTCCTACGTAACCATTGCGTACAACCCCATAGGGCTGTCCCTTGTAGTTTTTCTCCGTGTAGGGTATAAGGGGATATAGAGCTTTTTGACGTTTAATCGGCACACACTACTGCACCATTATAATCGAACGAGCGTGTGCAAGAGGGAAACAGATTAGTGGGAAAACAAACTGTCCGTTCATCCATGTGTGCTAGATAGAGAAAGATGATTAAACGTCAAAAAAGACTATAGGATAATGGGAGGGAAGGTTATAGGTGACTGGATGCGTCATGATAAAATTATGTTGAAATAACTTCTTTCATGGACACTGTTTTGTTTGCTACGCGCATTTTAAGCATAACCGCTAGGCCAAACCACTAGCAAAATGCCGTCTATAAAGATGCGCATTTGCAATATTTTTTCTCTACAAAAAAACGAAATGTTTATCATTGTTTATATTTATGCAGCACTCATTTTGAAATCATAAACAATGGAACTCGTAACGAATTAAGACTCAATTAAGCATTTGATTTACACAAATCCTCCGTTTTGTTCCGAATGCACGGAATTAGGTAGTGCGCAGAATTATGGCGGTGTACTTTTTCGTTACTTTTTAATATAGAATACTTACGTCAAATCCAATTGAAGTTTGAGTTTTTTTTTTAATAATCCATTTATTTGTCAAGGCTCAAATGCGTTAGCTTTGCGGAGCCGAATATTTTTTACATTATTGTGTGTGAATATCATTTTCTTACAACTAATGTTAGTAGAACGGGGGCCGATTACTCGCGGTTTACTCGAGATTAGGGATTACATTTATTGATCATTTGGAGGGAGGACAAGGGAAAACATTTTGAACTAATTTAAAACTTAAACGTAAAGGATGACTAAAACACAAAACATTAAACACATACATCAACAGCTTTAAGAAAGTCGTAAATAAGCTTCATAAAGTCGATATCACGGCAAGCCAAGATGTCTCTAATTAGCTTAAAGGGTTGTTTTCCTCGGACCCTAAGGGAATCACACAGAACGGATCTCGCCTCATGATGCAAGGAGCAGGACCAAACAACATGCTCGATGTCGTAAAAACCGTTTCCACAGGTGCACAAGTTGCTGTCGGCAAGCGTAATACGGAAGAGGTGGGCGTTTAACGAACAGTGATTGGACATGAGCCTGGACATTACACGAATAAAATCACGACTCATATCCAACCCTTTGAACCAGGGTTTGATCGACACCTGTGAATGTAGCCATCTTCCCAGATCACCATCATTCCACTTTTGTTGCCAGTTGGCGAGGACTTGCTGACGAGAAATCGTGAAAAATTCCTGGTAGGCGATTTGTCGCTCGTAAATATCGCCTTCCATAGCGCCCACCTTGGCCAGCGAGTAAGTTTGAGTTAGCCCATCGTAAAATAGATAGTTTAGTGCTATTAATCGTCCTATCAAAAAGCAAAATTTCCGCACCGTAGAGCCACACTCTGTGTTTTCACTGGAGTTACACTTGAAAGCGCTCTCGAGTGCACCTTCAGTGAAAACACAGAGTGTGGCTCTGCGGTGCGGAAACCTTGCATTTTGATAGAGAGATTAATAGTACTAAACTATCTATTTTAAGATGGGTTAACTGAAAATCCAATTTGATTTGACGTAAGTATTCTATATTAAAAAGTAATGAAAAAGTCCCAAAAGAGCGATCCATCACTGGGTGTACGGTACACCGAATTGTCAGCAGCCTTCGGCAAGTTAAACCATGACGTTGCGATTGCCTAGCTCACTGCTTGCCGGCAGTCTGATATTTTATCCAACCACGTCAGAAATATCTCAAGTCACCTGCTCAAGTATGGTGTGCACTGTAACTAGAAAGTACCTCTAACAATTTCACCCATTTTGAAGTAAAGTAGGTTAACCCATTTAATGGGTAAAAAATACCCATTAATGGGTATCTAATACCCATAAATGAGTAATTGTTAGTAGGTAAACGTTACTCATTAATGGGTAACCTTTTTTTTACCCATTTAATGGGTTAACCTACTTTACTTCAAAATGGGTGGAATTGTACTCATTAATGGGTACTATATTGTAGTCTAGGACGATCGAGAGGTTGTAGATAACCAGCCACGAGTCGAATTAGTTGGCGTAACGTTGTACAACAGGTCAACTAGTCTCAGCGAAGGTCATAGGACTAGCAAAACAATTGGTAGTACAGTTATATTAATCAAGCCCAACTGAACTGACGAAGAACTGAAATAGTCCACTGCTGGTCATTAGTTTTATATTTCAAATAAACTTCTTCCAAATGAACCCATCCACCTGTCACTATGCTCATGTTGTGCTTGACTCGCAACTAGGTGCTATGATTTTCCTCTGCGTTTTTTTTTGTCTCTTCTGTTTCCCCCCGATTTAGGTGGCCTCCAACACTCTCCTCCTGGTCAATCGGCAGGTCTTGCCGTAGCAAGTGCATTAGTAACGTTAGGTAACCCACGACGACCGTCGATAGAGCACCCGAAGGAACCTAAGACTAAGCGTAAGCAAAGCCAACATCCCGATAGTTGTATATAAGCAAACAGACAAAAGAAAGAAAGGTAAGCAAACAAACAAACAAACAAAAAATAACAACAAAACAACAGAAGCAAGTAACTATTAACTAATTATAAATACCTATACCAGCAAAATATTGTAAACGAAGATGATTATCATGCTATAATAAGTAGAAGGAGAGAGAAGTCGATCCGCTGGCAGGCAGGAAGAAGTGGAGTAGAATTATTGATAAATTATGGGAAAATGCGCCGGTTATCGGTTTGACGAAGGAGAAATTTGAATCCAAATCGTGCAAAAAGTAAAGTTTTCTTATTTTGAAATATGGATACGAGGACTAAATTTTACATGAACATTGTGAATAATAGGAAGAAGTGTGACTGTGGATTGGTAGGAAAACAGGAATTTAAGGGCTTGTCACTCCCACTACCCCCAATAAACTGGTGCGTGGGCATTCAATGTTTGGAGATATGTCTCGTATCACTTCTACGTTTGCGACTGAATTTTTAGACTCCACATAAAATGTGTGAACTGTTTGAAGGCCATCTTATATCGTTATATTTATATACTGTACCGTTGGAATCATTCTTCCTCTTTCCTCACAAATTGGGACATGCTATTTTGCTGCTAGGTTGGATCGTGTACGGAACATCGTGGGATTTCCTCGTTTGAATGTGTTTTTTTTTCTTAGCTTAGATTGAAGTTTAAATTTTGAATTCTTACATTTGCATCGTGTGTTCAAATTATTGAAGAAAAAAACGTTGGGTTCTAATAACTATTGTAGGCAGCTTTTGGTTTTCTTCCATCTAATCTATTTCGATACGTACTCGTAATGAACAGTCCTATTATACGAACAGTTAAAATGGAATACTCATCCCATCTTGGAAACAAACATATTATATATTTCCATACAATCAACGCAAGTCTTCAACCAACTAAGTCACACCTTTCGTTTTGGCGTTACACAGTGCTACATCTATTAATCTAAATCTGTAAGTCTTAGTTCAATATTGTGGCATCGAATCCAATGTGAATGTGTGGAGGTATGGGAAACGGTTTGCCTAAGGGACACAGTTTTAAATTTAATGTGATCAATACCTAGATATTAGAGTGCTACAAACATATTTGAGGGGCAGAGGTTTCACGAGAGCGTGCATGTGTTTTTGGTTTCCTTCTTCCATTTGCTCTGATTTATATAGAAAGGGGATGTGATGATGAAAATGGCCTCTGATGATCGAACAAGTTAAGGTGCGCAGACGACACCAGCAGACAGAAAACGAATGATTTTAACGAAGAATCAAAATTAGCGAAAAACGGCTACCCCCGGCGGGGGTCGATAGGAAGTTGTATTATTTTTTTTATATTGGTGAGAAAATTCTCGATTCACTCGAGAATGTTACTAGAAATGATCAAAACTGCTCACTACGCGCGCGTCGTGGTTAGAGCTATTAATGTGTACTAACTGCAACACTAGGTACTGGCGGACGATGCTGATCCATCTGAGAGAATGTGGACAACGGTGTTGTGGTAGCAGCAGAGCAACAATTTATAAGAGGAGACTAGTTTTAGGTAGTAATGCGAATAAATACGTCTGATGCTAGGGATTTAGAAGGGTAGTTACTTTTTGAAGTTTCAACTAGTAGCAGACAGCTAGATGCATCGTGTGAGTGAAGACAGAGATCACAAGTAGAGTTTGTAAAAAGGGAAAATAATTTACTGATAAGCAAACAGGAAGAGAAATACATACAGCAACACACACACACACAGTGAGGAAAAAGTATTTTATGGCATTTGTTGCAACAATAAAAAGTGAGGAAATTCGACTTTCTTTTCTCTGTTTGCATGGCCGTAGCATATCACATCCTTTAATGTTATATTTTAATATGTGCGTTAATGTTCTTTACTTTTACTTTTTGGGATACATTTCGTTTAATCTACTGCGAATGGAGAGTTTTTAGCGGTAAACCTAATGTCCTTCTTGTTGCAGTATCAAACGAAGTAACCATTGACATCTTCATATGGTCACATGAGGAAGTCAATGGCAATGGTGGGTATATATGCGGGGGGGGGGGGGGGGGGGTGCGGTTTTAGAGCAAATTGTAAACAAACTCGGTCGCTGTCCCATACAAAAATCCAACATGGCTGAATCATGAATTTGACACATCAGAACACCTATATGTAGTCAACTTGGTCAATGCTTACTTCGTTTGATACTGCGTTGTATACTGCAACAAGAAGGACATTAGGTTTGCCGCTAAAAGACAAGAGCTCCAGAGTTTCTTCGGAAATAGTTTTAGATATATTCAAAACTTTCAAGAATAAAGACGTAGGGGAAATGGCTCTAATGTTGGCCTATGGATCTAAGATTGGGCTCATCTCTAAAAATATGCTGTTTATCAATTTTATCTAGATCTACGGACGGTACTAATGGATGTTTTTGGTCGTAATTGAAAATTTAGTCGTTTGCTGAATTTATGTATGGGCCCAAATTAGGGGCATTTAGGCAGACATTACATCCATTTCCCCTACATAAGGTAAAAACTTTATCATACAAACGTTCATGTAAAGTTCCATACCAATTTCAGTTAAAGTTTAGCAGGGATTATAAACAATTTTCAACCGTTTTCGGTAAGGTCAATTTATGGTTCGCGTTTATGCAGGAACTAGTTTATTTATTTATTAATGACTAAACATCAACAGGCGTTATTGGCCCCAATGATGTAATCTATATATGTAAAAATGAATTTCTGTCTGTCTGTCTGTCTGACCCTTATAGACTCGGAAACTACTGAACCGATTGGCGTGAAAATTTGTATACAGGGGTTTTTGGGGCCGTGGAAGGTTCTTATGATGGTTCGAGACCCATCCCCCTTCTGTAAGGGGGGGCTCCCATACAAATGAAACAGAAATTTCTGCATAACTCGAGAACTAATCAAGCAAATGGAACCAAATTAGGCATGTGGGGGCGAGTGTGGGGGTATAAGGAGATAATCATAGGGGGTAGCCCCTTAGATAATAGGGGGGGGCTACGTACAATATAGCATGCTTTTTTTAAATCGGCGCATAAACTCAAGCTAATATTGAATCCCGAGCAAGACCGGGCACACTCAGCTAGTCTAAACTAAACATGAAAAGTACTAAAACTAAACATCAATAAGTCAATAGTCATCTCGTAAAAAAAAGATCATTGCTAAACAAACTAAACTGATCTAGAAAAAAGTAAGAGGTTGTATCCAAGACACGACCGTAGATTTGACGTAGGATTACGAAAGGCAGTTTTTTTTCTTTGATTTGTTTTCCGTCGATCTTGTTTTCCGTGCTGAGCACCAATGCTACCGACGTGCCAGGAAGGCAGCTCCCACACCTGGACCCTACCTATCGACCCATCAACTCATGAACCGGGGACCAACGGCTTTACTTCACTTCCGAAGGAAGGCGTGATCAGAGATGTTATGCCTCAGAACATACCGGCGGCGTCGACTGGGATTGAACCCAGGCCTGCTGGGGTGAGAGGTAATCACGCTTACCATTACACCACCGGCGCCGCTAAAAGGTAGTTTTGATGTCACAGCAAAAGTATAGTATATTAAATTGATTTCTTAACTCGTTATTAGAGAAAAAGTTCGATAGGTTGAAATTCGGAAGCAATTTGACAATTCTGTTTGTGAGGTGCTGTGTCGATGTCCATTTAGTACAAGTCAATCCTGGACGGTATGTCTTGGATACAAGCTCTTACTCTTTAGTTAGCTCTTTTATCAGTCATTTGTGGTCCTGAAAAGGAACGATGGGTTGGAATCTTGTAAGCCAGTTTAGAACAATGCTGTGGAAATTTGTCCTCGATTCTGAGCCTGAGCCGGACGGTACCTACGTGTATGCTTGTTGATGCAAATTTTAAGCCTCTTCTATTAAGAGAATTCGGCAAGATTTTTTTTAACATAATTTCTCTTAAAATTTGCAACAAGAGACATAAAGATAGGTATGGTCTGGCATACTCAGTGCTTGGAATTAATATTCGGCGTCTGTGCTAGGGAAACCACTTTTCCCATCACGAAAACGCCACGTTTTCTGATGTCAAATTACGCATTTTCGCGCACAAAACTTTTGGTTTATTCAATAGATAATAAAAAAAAGCCGAAATTTATTGGGATTCCAGTGTAAGCAATTAGTAAACGAACACGTATTGGAACATTCGGAAAGTGTAGTCAAGTTTTCAACAAAAACATGGGTGGAAAGAGATAGAAAAAGTCTCAACCCCAACGACACGAATGAAAGCCCTATTGAGAAGAAGGGCAAACGGAACAGTAACTTGTCTAATCGTTCAGTGGATTTTCATACCGCTAACAGTGAAGAACAAGGTCAGAACAGCAATTTGCGATCCTCGCAGATGCGGAAGACGACCAATTCTCGCAAGCAACACCTGCAGGCAACTACCCTGATACCGAGTCAAGCAACATCATGGCGAAGGACCATCAGGAAAGCCTCTCGCAACAAAGCACAAGCTGCTCCCTTTGGTAGTTAAATCGGTCCCACTGGACAAGCTTATGCGGACAATGCAAGCGATTGATGTCACCGCCGAGTTCCAGCTCACACTTACTTACCAATCAGGCTAAGGCCTTGTTGTCCTCTGCTGTCCGAAGAAGTCGTCTCTACTCTACTCTACCCAGCCTCCTAGTCTGCGAAGGGTCCACACGTCGCCTTCTACTTGGTCGATCCACCTTGCCCGCTGCGCGCCTCTTCTTCTTGTTCCTGTTGGGTCGCTTTCTAGAACCATTTTCACTGGGTCGTCGTGCGGCATTCTTACGACGTGCCCAGCCCACCGTAGTCGCCCAATTTTTGCAATGTGGACGATGGATGGTTCTCCCAGCAGCTGGTGCAATTCGTGGTTCATTCGCCTCCTCCACGTTCCGTCATCCATCTGCACTCCACCGTAGATGGTACGCAACACCTTCCGTTCGAAAACACCAAGAGCGCGTTGGTCCTCCACGAGCATAGTCCAGGTCTCGTGGCCGTAGAAGACCATCGGTCTAATCAGCGTCTTGTAGACAGTCAACTTCGTGTGGCGGCGAATTTTATTCGACCGGACCGTCCTCCGGAGTCCAAAGTAGGCACGATTCCCTGCCATAATGCGTCTTTGAATTTCTCTGCTGGTATCATTTTCGGCGGTCACCAGTGAGCCCAAATACACGAACTCATCGACCACCTCGATTTCGTCACCGTCAATCTGAACTCGGGGTGGGAGGCTAACATTTTCTTCCCTAGAACTTCTTCCTTTCATGTATTTTGTCTTTGATGCGTTGATGGCAAGTCCAATCCGCCTAGCTTCAGCCTTTAGTCTGATGTACGTTTCCGCCATCGTCTCAAAGTTCCGTGC